ATGGACAATGGATAACCTCCAGTTCATCCATGGACTGTAGAAGACCTCTTAGTCATCTTTGGACTTTGGACTATATAAATTACAGGTCATCCATGGACAATAGAAGACCTTTAGGTCGTCTATGGACAATGGAAGAACTTCACGTCTTCCATGGACAATATACATCCAGGTCGTCTATGTACAATAGAGGAACTTTATGTCGTCTATGGACACTAGAACGCCGACCGCCAGCTCTTCTATGGACAATAGATGACCTTTACGTCATCCATGGACAGGTCATTTATGGACCAGGTCTTCTCTAGACAATTGAGAACCTCAAGAACTTCTATAAACAATGGTCGTCTAGAAGAGAACGGAAGTCCCCCAAGGATCTCTTAAAAAATACAAGAATTTTATTTCTATAAAGAAAATATAGACAATGGAACAGCCCAAGGACCTTTATGGACAATTAAATCTCCCCTGGTCGGTGTCGTGTCGTGTAACAGGAAATGAGGAAAACAAAAACATGAGGCTGTCATTAACAGTTCAATTCAATTTATCTGTGGTCTTATCTTTTGGCGAAAATCACTACAAAAAAAGGTTACTTTCTTTTAGCTTATGGACAGCAACAAAAACTTAATTGTTTTCCAAGGGGAAGAAAAGAGAAAATAGAAAAAAAACACAAAAAATAGAAATTAATGAAAAAGAAAAACTAAGCATCTCTTCTTTTGTGCGTATTTCGTTTAATTGAATTAATTTCTTATTTGCCATTAAATGTTGCAAACAAAGAGGGAAATCTAAGTCAGGCATTAATACAAATACAACACAAAGGCACACGCATAGAGAGAGGGAGAGAGAGAGAGCATCATTAAACCAACAGACACAATTCATTAAAATCCAATAATCCCATATTTATCCCCTAAGCTGATGGCGGTAGTGGTGCTAAGGATGTATTTCCATTTTCCATTGTCCTTTTGCATTTCCTGGGTCATTGATTTGGAAGTTGTTATTAAGATGGCGTCCATCCCAGCATTTGCCAGAATAATTGTTAAAAGAAGCTGTTCTTGGAAGGATATTATTTTTTCCTTTGTGGGAAAGAGGGGCATGATGTCCCCCCTGCCATCATCTTCTTAGCGCCATTATTTGTTGCTTAATGTTGCGATAAGAATTTCTTTCTTCATTATCTTTATTTGCCTTTCCGTAAACACGCACAAGGATAATCAACGGCAGCCAGCTGCTTTAAGCATAATTAACTTCTCAAATCATAAAAGCTTTGCTGTATTAAGTTCGTTCTCATTGCTTGGGAAACATATTTGATGGAATCGTAAAAAATATTCAAATGTCCATTTGTTTTGTTTCTGTTCATTGATCAATTTTCTTTAAGTATTTTTGAAAGTTAAGATATAAATGATTTTCTTAGCATATTGAAATTAAGATGAAAGAAATTTTAAACAAAATCTATAATTTTTCCAAATTTATACCTATTTCTCCCTCTAATAAAGAAATATTAAACAAATTCTATAATTTTTCCAAATTTATACCTATTTCTCCCTCTAATAAAGAAATTTTAAACACATTCTATAATTTTTCCAAATTTATACCTATTTCTCCCTCTAATATTTTTTTTTTATATTTTTTTTAAATTTACTAGAGTTCAGTGAACAACTTCATAGTTAAAGCCCAATTACGTTTCATAATTTTCACCTGTAACAATTTCAAATTATCCACACAAAACCCCATTACTATTATTAACACAGAGATATAAATATAAAGAGAGAAAGGGGCAGAGAGGGAGAGAGAGAGCAATGATCTTTCAATGACCAATCATCAACATCAGCAGCATCACCTGTAATGGCAGCACGTATGTTCATGCACAAGTGAAAGTGAAAATCCTTATGAACGATCAACACGCTGCTTTTTCATTTTTCCAAATAATAATGGAGAGTGTAAAATGCAACAACAACAGCAATTGAAAATGCCTACCGCCTTGGGGATGTTGTTGCTGCTGCTACATTGCGTGTTGGATGGGTTGGTAGTAGGCCGTGTAATTTCAACAACATCAACATGTTTCATTGCACTGCATGGCTGTCTCCCTCTCTTAGAGAGGAGAAGGTGAGGGAGAGTAGTGTTTTGCCAATTTGTGTGTGTGTGTGTGTGTGAATTTCATTGAACCTTAATAGTGGATGATTGCGCTTAGAAAATTCAATTATGCCAATGTTTTGTTGAACTTTTTTTTGTTTTTGATGATAGCAAACGTGTTTTATGAGCCTGCCTCTCTTGCTTCCTCTGTTGTAATACCACAAAACTTTCATAAGCATTTTTTAGCAATTGCTGCATAAAAATATTTGTTGCAAGTCCATACCTAGCTTGGTGTTGGCTCATAATGGCCTCCATTTTTGGTGCTTATAAATTGGTTTGTGTGCCCATACTTAAGTGGAAATGTAGATGATTGCGTGTTGATGCCCAAAATTTTGCCTAACTCATCGAGCACTTGCTTACTCCATTCTTTCATGCAGGCAGTGCAACATTGTTTGCTGTTGTGTGCGTGTGCCAGATTGTGTATTGACCACTCGTTAATGGATTTTGTTGTAACTACCACCACTCAAATTAAGACGAATTGCGGCATTATTGCTGCATTTTGTAGCACTTGGCAAAATTTTGCGAACAAAACCTAATGATTGCCCCCCATACCAACCTTCCCGCCCTGCCTCCCAACATTATCACCAGTCGTTATTTCATGTTCACCACCAATATTTATAATTGATATCTTTAGGCTCTGTGAAACATGGGAAAGAAATCCTAATTTTCTATTCGGTTGCTGGGCAAGTTTAGGTGAGTGTGTGCACGAGAATTAGGGTTGCCAAGGCAATTTGACCAAATATTGATTCTGTAATTAGTATCTGTACCTAATGCTAGGTCCCTGATGGAAGGCTCCTCCAGAATCTATTTCCACCTCTAAGTGACATATCGGCCGTTGTGTCATTGGAAAGACATTTTCTGGGAGGCATACTTTTAGGCTCAGCTAATTTGTTTCCCAACTACCTGCGAGTTCTATCTGACATTTCTTATTCAATTTTAGGACCCTCAATCTGATCTCCTTGCGGGTACAGTATTCGACCAAATATGATTTTAATAATCAGTATCTGAATATAATTCTAGCTCACTCAATGGAAGGCTGCTCCAGAATATATTTTTACTTCTGACATATCAGCCGTTGTCATTTTAAAGACATTTTTGAAGTATACTTTTAGGATCAGCTAATTTGTTTCCCAACTAGCCGTGAGGTCTATTTGACATTCCTTATTCAATTTTAGGACGCTCTTATTGATTTAGGACCTTTTCATTCAAATTAATTCCCAATTAAATTTAATCTCCTTGGGGGTCCAGCTTTTGACCAAATATGGTTTTAATAATCAGTATCTGAATATAATTCTAGGTCCCTGATAGAAGGCTTCTCCAGAATCTATTTTCACCTCGGCCGTTGTGTCATTTTAAAAACATTTTCTTGGAGGCATACTTTTAGGCTCAGCTAATTTGTTTCCCAAGTAGCCATGAGGCCTATCTGACATTCCTTATACAAATTTAGGGCGTTTTTATTGGGGTCCAGCTTTCGACAAAATATGGTTTTAATAATCAGTATCTGAATATAATTCTAGGTCCCTGATAAAAGGTCCCTCTCGAATCTACTTCCACTTTAAAAGTATATATCCCCCCTTTGTATGATTAAAAAAAGTTTTTTTGTGGTACACTTTTAGGCTTTGCTAATTTTTTCCTAACTAACCAACAGACCTGGAACTCTATCGACATTCCTGCTTCAAATTTAGGACGCAATTTGTGATTTGGGACGTTATTATTCAGTTTAACTCCCAATCTGATCTCTGATCGTGTCCAGCCTATATTCCCTCTATTTAACAATTAGAAAGGCGTTTTGTCCATTTTTTTTTAGGTACCAGATGTCGGGGTCTATTTCCACCTCTGAGAGATATATCAGCCTTTATGTCATTTCAAAAAAGTTTCTTGGAGGCAAACTTTAAGGCTCAGCTATTTTTTTTTTTTTTTTTTTTTTTTTTTTTTGTTCTAACTAGCCATGAGGCCTGGAAGTCTTTCCGACATTCCTGCTTTATTTTAGATTTGGAATAATAACGTCCCAATGAAAAGATCCCAGATCCCAGCTAATGTTTCTTCTATTTCACGAACAGAAAGGCATTTTTTCCAATTTGTCTCTAGGTCCCCGATGTCGGTGTCTATTTCCACACCTTTAAGAGATATATCAGCATTTATGACATTTCAAAGATAGGTTCTTGAAGGTATGCTTTTGGCCTCAGCTAGTTTGTTTTTTTTTTTTTTTTTTTTTTTTTGAGACGTTTTTTGAACTTCTAATTTTATTTAGACCCAAGAGGACAACATTTTTCCCACTGGTCATGCTGATATAATATTGGTCGTTTCCTTTTCAAACTCATATTGGTCGATTTTTATGAAAATTGTTGACCAAAACCCTGCTGCTGTGCGCAAACAAATATCTTGTTATGAGCAATTATTCTGCAACACTGCCTCAGAGTGAGAGGAGTTACATTCATCAACGAAATAAAAGCGCAATAATGCAATAATTCAATGAACCAATTGCCGTTTGCCATAATCAAGCTGCTGCAAACATAAATTGTGTGTTTGCGAATGGGGGAGCGGCTATGGGGAGAGGGAAGCATTATTGCCTGGCCGGCTGGCTGATGGTTGGAGCTCAACAACTTTTATAACGGGAAATTTGCAAGGCAATCATGTTTTGCTACGAAACATCAATGGCCATTGACTACAACAACAGCAACAACAAAAGTAGCCAATAGAAAATCTACAACGTAATAATAACGAGCTTGAGGTGGGGAGGGTGGGGGTATCAACATTTAATAATTTATGCACTCAACTTGAATTGCAAGAAAACACCTGCCCAAATTCCCTGGGAACTGAAATCAAGTATTTCATTTTTCAACTAAAACTATTTTTTTTTTTTTTTTGTTTTTTTCTTGCAGATCAAATTCCTTAAAACCAAAGAGGGCACTGCCATGGTGCAAATGGGCGATTCAGTGGCTGTCGAACGTTGCGTCCAACATCTGAACAACATTCCCGTTGGCACAAAGGGCAAAATCCAAATCGCCTTCTCCAAACAGAACTTTTTGTCCGAAGTCATAAATCCCTTCCTATTGGCCGATCACACACCCAGCTTCAAAGAATACACCGGTTCAAAGAACAATCGTTTCCTATCGCCAGCCCAGGCTAGCAAAAATCGTATACAACCACCGAGCAAGGTAAGCTGAACTTCGTCTAATAAAAAGTTCATCATAATAATAATGTAAATGTTTTTCCTTTTTTTTTTTGCAGATTTTACATTTCTTCAACACACCACCTGGTCTCACCGAGGATCAATTGATTGGCATTTTCAATATCAAAGAGGTTCCTGCAACATCTGTCAGGCTATTCCCCCTTAAGACCGAACGTTCCTCATCGGGTCTGATTGAATTCCCCAATATTGCCCAGGCTGTTTTGGCCATCATGAAGTGTAATCATCTGCCCATTGAAGGCAAAGGTAAGAAAGCACGAAAACTTAGTTGTGAGAGAAGAAGTATAAGACCAAGAATACACTTGACGCCTTAGAGAGCAAAAATAATTATAATTATCACTTAAGACCCTCAGTATTGCTCCCTAGGCTCCTCATTTGCAACATTTATTAATTTTAAACCAATCATTCACGTATTTGCCTTTAAAGTTAGCTTTACTTGGTCTCTGCGTTTAATGACAAAATTCAAAGCATACTTCTAGGCGTTTACTTTATTTCCTTTGAAAAACTTAATTTCTCTTTGAAATAAGTGCAAAACTGGAATAATTGAATACAAAATTAAATTAATTTAGTATAAAATTAAATCAATAACATAAATTCATTTTATTTGTGGTCACTCGAGGGCTAAAATCAAGAAAAAAATGCCAATGCCACAACTCAATTCAACAAGTCCTTAGAAAGAAATTTTGAAAATTTCATAGGATTATCATGTTTTAAATATGGAAATTCATGAGAATTTTAAAAGAACTCGCTTTAAGGAAAAATGTGTAGAACACAAAAATCCGCAGCTATTATATTTCAGTTAAAATTAGAATGATAAAAAAGTGATTTTTTGTTTAATTTATCTCCTTCTGAGTTGCAGCCAGTTTGTCCCTTAAATCTTCATTGTAGAAATTTGGTGCCAATGGAAAACTTGTTCTACGTCAAATTTTACTATGAGTCTCAGAAGAGAACTTATAGCTAGATATAATAAATATAAAAATTAAAGTTAATTTTAAATTAAAATAAATAATTAGGCTGCAATTTTCAATTAAATCTCGAATTTGAGTTCGATTCGGTGCAAAATTTTTGAAGAAAACTTCACTTTAGGTAGGTGGTGTTAAAGGAAAAAATGTACTTTATCAAATTTCAGTCCAGGTCCCCAAATTTACCAAATTTGTAGATGTTGTAGTTTGGCTGCAATTTAAGTATCAATGCGGATACAAAAACATTTCCTTTTTTATATTGTCCTCTTTATGAGTTGGAGCAAAGTTATAACTTAAATCTCCATTGGAGAGCTTCGGTGCCAATGGATAAGATGTTCTTCATCAAATTTTACTATGAGTCTCAGAACAGAACCAGAGCTAGGTATAATAAATATAACAATAGTAGTTTATTTTAAATTGAAATAAATAATTTAGGCTGTCATGTTGAATAAATTTCGGATTTAAGTTCGATTTCGTGTAAATTTCTGGGTAAAACTTAACTTTAGTTATGTGGTATCAAAGGAAAAAATGTTCCTTATCAAATTTCACTATAAGTCACCAAACAAATGAAACTTGTAGCTATGATAGTCTGACGAGAATTTAAGAAAACAATGTCATTACAAAAATATTTCCCTTTGAAGTGGTGTGAATTCTTTCACAAAACTCAACGTAGTGACCACTCTTGCCATGGGGGGTTGGTCCCAAAGGGAATCAAGTTGCACATGAAATTCTCTAATAATCTACAAAACAAAAGGCGTTTATTGCCATAATATTTGATATCTAACTTATTTATTAATTTTGTTTCTGCTTAAATCTGTAATCCTTTTTTGATTATATTTAATTTTCCTTGTCTTCTTTTTCTTCCCCCATTTTCTTTTATATTTACTTACGCTAGGCACCAAATTCCCCTTTATTATGAAGCTATGTTTCTCATCATCGAAAAGTATGAATGGTGCCTGGAATAATGCCGCCAATGAGGGTATGATTGAAAAGGAGAACGATGCCGAAATTAAACAAGATGTTGGCTATAACTGAGATGATGCCCTAATGATGTCGGCGGCATCATTACAGCAGCAGCAGCAGCAACAACAACAACATCAGCAGCAACAACAACCACAACATTAAACAAAAGAAAGAAGACGTGAAGACAAAGATGTTATAATAAAATGAAACAGCAAAACATAACCCACAATTAAAATGGAAAAGCTACAAGGAAAGAAGAGATTTTATTTGAAAGAATGAGTGGAGAAGAAGAAAATACAGTAGCAAAGAGCAGCTAAAATAAATCTGAAGACAAGATGGTAGACAGGTGTGCTACATAAATTTGAATTATTTTGAGTTATTTTATTTTTATTTAAGTTTTAATAACAAAAAACAACTGAGAAGAGGCCTCACCCAAGGAAGACAAAAAGGTGCAAACAACAAAACAAGAACAACAAATAGAATTTTAGTGATAATTTAAAACAAAAAAAAAACAAACAAATTCAAAGCATGCTTTTAGGCTTTCTTCCTCAATTGATGAAAATATGAAATAAATTAAACTGAAAGAAATATTATTAATTTATATTTAAATGAATTTGCTTATTATTTTTTTGTTGTTATTACATTATATAGTATATAATTTAATAATTTTTGTTGTAATTTCTATATATATATATACACACATAAAACTTATAAATATTTTACTCATCATCTCACTTTTGAGTTGTAAGGTTTTTTTTTTTCTATTGATTAATTATTATTAAATTTTCATTTAGTTTGTAACGATGGAACTTTTACCAATCAAATCAACCAGCAATTGTTGTTTCTCATTGTTTTTTCTTAAATAAGTTTTTTTATTAATTATTTTTATTATTTTGTTTTATTAACTTCCATATATAAATATTTATATAAATAAAAGAAATTAGTTTTTATCTTTATTATTATAAAATAAAAAACACTTGTGTAAAAAAAATCTCAAAAAATGAAAATGTGAAAAATAACCAAAAAAAAATATTAAAAACATGAATGAAGAATACAAGAAACCATGATTTGACAATATATATATATAAAAAATAATCTAATCTAAATAATAATAGAGAAGATAAAAACAAACAGATTTACAAAAAACAAAACAAAAACACAAAAAATAATTACTAAAACTCTAAGAAGAACAAGATAAATGGTTTTGCTTATTTTTATTTCTTTTTTTTTTCGAAAAAAAAAACAACACAAAAAATCGTAGTATTATTATCAAATGAAAACAAAAAAAAAACAAAAGGAAAACAAAACCAACAAAAACATGAAATACTAAAAATATATACAAAAAAAGATGAAAATGAAAAGAAAAAACAATATAATTATGTATGTATGTTATTTTTACAATGTAATTAAGAAATTATGTGCTTACAACAACAACAAGAACAACTAAGAGTATAACAATAGAAAAACACAAGACAACTGCATGCTTAACAAAACCAACAACAAATACCACAAGAGCAACAAATTTATTTAGTTTACAACTTTCGATGAGATATGTTTACGAGAGCTCTACAGGGTAGCCCAAAATGTATGTGAATGGGGGAAGTGTGGATGATGTGAAGAAAGAGGTTTATGGATGGCCACATTCATGTCATTATTTTGGGGAAATGGAAACCTATTATTCCCATAAATTACCATAAGGAATTTTTAAAAAGAAAATATCCTGGAATTGTCACAGAAAATCTGCAAAACCTCTTGAAAAAGAAGACCAATACTATTTTTTATTTACCCTACACCACATATTTGTAAGGGTATTATGTGTTTGTGCATTTGTTTGTAACATGGAGAAGGAAACGGGATAAACCCATAGTTCCTTTTTGGCTGATCAGCATAGAATCACTTTCTTAGGCGATTTATGCATATCCGTCGGTCTGTGTGTCCATCTGTCTATGTATTTTTGTAAACAAAATGCAGGTCGCATTTATTATTCGATTGAGCTGAAATTTTCCAAATAATATTTGTATGGCTCATGGACGAACCCTATAGGAATTGGATTGAAAATCGGTCCAAATTTAGCTATAGCTCACATATATATCTACGACCGACCTATCATCAGTCCAAATGGAGTGAATTTCGGCATTTCCAAATTTATATTAACCTCCCACATATATCTACGACCGATTTTCTGGTTTATTGTGGCCCAAATGACTAAATATTATCAGTCCAAATGGAGTGAATTTCGGCATTTCCTAACGAATTCAGTCGACAAGCATGTATTTTAAATTTGTTGAAAATCGCTTCAGATATAGCTATAGCTAACATATATATGCGTTTCATCCGTTTTTAGGTTTCTTGTGCACCAAATGGCTAATATCAGTCCGATTGTGTGAATTTCGGCACTTGCGACCGAATTTAGTATAGAATGATGTACTTTAAATTTGATAAAAATCGGTTCAGATATAGCTATAGCTCCCATATATATAGATATGTTTCATCCGATTTGGTGTTTAAGTCACTCAAGAATAATATTTGGTACCAGATATCAGATACAGCCAAGAAATAACTGTTTTCAATTTTATAAAGATCGGTTCCGATTTGGATATAGCTCCCATTATCCGATTTCAGGTTTATTGTGCGCCAAATGGCTAATATTAGCCCAAATGCTATGAATTTTCACAATTCAACAGAGTTTGGCAAATTTCCTTATCTGATTTGGTGTTCAAATCTCCAACTTTCAGCAGATGCACTCTACCATAATGATATTTTGTACCCGATATCTCATAGAGCTCAGAAATTGCAATATAAACCTTTCTTTTACAAGACCTCTACTAAATATGCATAGGGGTGTAGGGTATCATATAGTCGGCCCCGCCCGACTTTTGAGCTTTCCTTACTGGTTTAAAAATATAGATTCCCCATGATCTTGGCCATTGGGTCGGATGGTATCCATTTCAAAATAGAACAATTTTTTATGGTTTTTATTGAGAGTTAAAAAGTCTTCTGACAAAAGTCCAGATAAAATTCTTTCTCAAATTTCAAAATCATTTAACAAATGCCCATTCAATTGGACATTCCTAAAAATGATTTGATTTTTATAATCTCCTCCTATTTTTACCCCCTCATTAATATTTTGGGCCACCCTGTACCCCTAAGATATGCAGTATTGTTTCTAATTTAATTTAATTTGATTATCATTTTGGCATAAACAAAAGCAACCAACAAAAAATTTAATTAAATGAAAATGAAAAAGATAATGGAATGCACAACTTTTTACAAATTTACAATTTTACCAAGCAAACAACCAACCAACAACAATTAAAAAAAGACATTTTTGTGCTTAATTTTAAATAAATATTGTATAATTAATTAATTAAATATTTTTTTTTAACAAAACAAAAAAAAATTGAATAATTTAAATAAAAAACAAAACATATATGTAAAAAACATAAACAAAAACTAACAATTATTAATGTAAATTAAGAGCAGACAAGTAAGATTTTTTGCAGGCAAATAAACAAACAAAAAAAGAAAGAAGGAAAGATAAGAAGAAAACAAACATGGATAGAAAGAAAAGTGTTAAATGAAAGCTATCTAAGATTTTGTTTTTTTTTTTTTAAATAACTAAAATTATAAATGGATTTTTGTTTCGTTTTAACCAAAAACTAAAAAAACCTTTGAATATTATTTTGTTTTATATATATTCTTTTTTTATTATTTAAAACAAAAACCCCCTATTTTATAAATATAAAAAAAAAACAAATAATATCAGCAATAAAAAGCAACACTTAACAACCATATCAGTGGCGTATAAAAAAAAAAAACAAAAATACCATCATAAAATTTACTAGTTTTTATGTATTTAGAAAATTGTTTAAATGTAAAAAAAAAGAAATCTTAATAAAAGAAGAATATAAAATGAAAACAGAGAAAACCCATCCCCCTATACAACAAAACTGCTAAACAAATGGAATTAGAAAAATAAACACAAAAAAAAAACATGTCTAAACAACCAAAATTTTTAAAAAACTTTCTATATAAATATAACAATTGTGTTTTATATGAAATACACTTTTTTTAATGTTTTCTTAGGGAGAGTGACTTAAACTTAATTTAAAAATATTAATTATTATAATACAACAATTAATTATAATATATAATATCATTAATTTAATAATAATAATAATCATTAACTAAAAATATCAACGAAATATTTTTAAAATATATTTAAAAAAAATATTATGTGACAAAAAAACAAACAAAAACGTATTCTTATTCTTTGTTTTCGTATTTGATTTTATTTTGGTTAGTAAGGCAAGTGTGCAATTCGTTTTTCCTTTTTTTCTTATTTAAAAAAAGTAACTACTCGGCAAATGGTTATTTGTGTGGATTATTAAACTGCTAAGGGGTTTTTTCAGAGGTTCTCTATTAGAGCTCAAGAAAAGTAAACAAAATTGCTAAATAAGAAAAAAAAAAACATCCCTACAAAAAAGCTTCTTTTATTGTTTTTTTTTTTTTTTTTAATAACTACTCGCCAAAGTGTTTTTGTGAGGATTATGAAATTGCCAAAGGGGTCTTTTTCAGAGGTTCCTATCAAGAAAAATAAGCAAAATTCTTAAATGTTGCACAAATATTCTTAAAATTTATCACAGTTTAATGATGTTTACTTAATGGCCTAGAATTGATGTGCAACGGAACTCCGTTTTTATAATATTTAACCAAAATTATAACAAAAAGAACCGTTTCAGGTCTTTGAAGGTCCACTTGAGAATGTATACAGTTTTCATTCAAATGAAATTCAAACTATGCCAGGTTGAAATGTATTCTGAAAAGTTCTGTGACAAATTTCCAAATAGCCAAAGATATTGAAAGTCCTTAAATCAAGCAGTCTATGGGATTTTTGGCACAAAAAACTGATTCTCTATTGAAGTTCAATTCAAAGTCGTAAAAAAGTATTTTTGTATCCTCACCATTAGATTTGTCATTCCTCGAAATAGACATTTCGAATAAGCGTTGATTTAGCGGACGGTCGGACGTCTGTGGAAATCCGTCTAGCTTCCGAAAAATTTTACTCAGATGTGTGAGCCCGACTTTTGGAAATGAAAATGGGCTTTATAGGTCCACGTTTAGCTCTAGTCCCCATATAACTGAGCCGACCGACTTAAGTCTGTCATTTGTTTGTCATTCCGTTTGTAACTCCTCGAAATAAGCATTGATTTTTCGATGTCCATCCGTCTGACCGTCTGTGGAAATCACTCTAGCTTCTGGAAATTTTACCCAGATTTTTTTAGGTCTGCAGGACTTTTGGATTTGAAAATGTCCATCCGTCTGACCGTCTGTGAAAATCACTCTAGCTTGCGAAAATTGTGCTCAGATGTGTTTTAGGACTCCAAGACTTTTGTAATGGATTGTGGGCTATATGTATCAACATTTTGATATAGCCCCCATATAACTGTACCGACAGATTTAAGTTTTTTTTTTTGGGGTTTCTAAGTCACGATTTTAATCCCGAATTTGCTGTAAATTGGCTATATGTGTTCCTGTCTGAGTTTTGCTATAGCCCCCATCTAATTGCACCTAAAGACATCGGTAATTTTCTTTGACATTTTTAATTTAGCTTTTTTCTCAAAGAAATTTTTTTAAAAGCAATACATTTTTACAGGAAAGAAAGCAACAACTAACCCCTTCTTTGCCGAGTAGTTAAATTGGTAATTTTATTATTTTTCTCTTTCTCCAAACTTGTTTTCTTTTTAAAAAAAATCAATATGTTTAAAAAAAAGGGACATGTTTGAGGTTAAAAACGACAAAAGTTGCCATCCTAACGTTGGGAGATTTAGAATGAACACATATTATTTTTTCAATTTGATCTCTTCTTAGAATTTTGTGGCATTGAGAATAATTCCCTTTGCTCAAAATTATAGTAAAAATTAAAATTCATTCTAACCTCAAAAAATATATGTTCGTCTTTTTAATTTTCAAACATTTCCCCACCACTACTATTATCAAAAATATGAAGCAACGATCTTTTTTATAGCTCCTAATTAATAAGAATTAATAAGAAATTTTTGCAAAAAAATCCAAAACTCGAACAAGATGTTATTCTGTTCTTAAAAGAAAGTTTTGTTCAAATAAATAAAAATAAAATAAATAAAAATAATAATAAATATAAAAATTTGAAAAAAAATCGACTTTAATAAAATATGGACGATAATAAGCCAGAGAATGAATTTCCCTATGGATCATAGCCTACATAAGGTCAGCAAATCTGAGAACTAAGTTTGATTTTATTATTCAATTGTAGTCTTCTTGGCCTACCTTATATATTAGACCATGCTCTGGCCTTTATGTCCATGATTTATGTCAGCCATAGATGGTCTGTCAGAAATTCTGACGTATATGACATACGTAAACCTAGAATGAATTCGGCGCAACATTTTTTTTCGATTCGATTCGATTCAAAATACTTTTAAGGAATAAAAAAGTTGTCTTAATGAAAAATACACAATTCAAATCACTTTTTTCGTCAAACAAAAAATTATTCATCTGTGAAAACCAAACAATGTTTTATTACGCATGGTACAACAAAAAGGTATGGTAGAGCTGCCAGCTGATTACAATTTTTTTCTAAGTGATTTTTTCTAAGCAATTTTGTGTATATATTTATTGTTTTGGAAAATAAAAACAAAATATTTTCAAAATAATGATTGGAAAAAAACGTTGTTTTCTAATCATGTGTTTTGTTTTGATTCCTCGTTCATTCGTTCCTTCATTCTCCTAAGGTTACCATATTGAATATATAATGCTGCCATATTTACACTGAATTCGTAGTCCATCAATTCGTACGAAATTTGAAGAAGGTAAAACAAAATCGTACGATTTTGAATTGAGAAATTCAAACAATTTCGGTATGATTTTGTGACATGCCTGTATAATTCGACTTTCTGAAGGTGTTGTTTTTGTTAGAAAAAAGTTATTTGGAAAAACTTTATTTTAGGAACAGAAATCTCTGCTAAGAGTTTTGATTTTTTTATAAAAAAAAAAAACTATAATATCAAGTAATAAATTTCTTTTACAATAAACCAATCGAATGGTAGCTATATTTATAATATACATAATTATATATTGTAATAACAATAAATAATATAAAAATTATAATTTAAGTTTTGTCGCTCATTGTAATTTTCGAATTATTTTTTATTAAATTATTCTTTTTTTTTTGTTAAATAGATTTTTTTTTGTATTTTTTTAGCTTAATATTTTTTTGTTTGTTTTATATTTTGCATTTTTTTTTTCTTGGTTTAATATATTTTTTTTGTATTTTTTTCTTTCTGTATATGTGTCCAACCAACCGAGGGTACTTACTAAATATGCTTATATATATTTTTTTAAATATTTTTAATAATTAAATTTAAAATAAATATTTTATTATTATGTTTGTTGTTTTATTGCATAGAGACAAAATAAAAAATATATATATACATTATTTTTTAATTAAATTATTTGTAATCTTATAATTATTAATTAATATTATTAATTTCTGTAATTTTTACAAATTGTTTTCGGAAATTATAAATAAAATGGAAAAATTTATTTCTATTATCTAAAAAAAAATATAAAACAAATATTTGTGTGTTTTTTGTTTGAGTTGTGGATTTGTAAGGCTTATTTTTTTATTTTCTTTTGTTTTTTTATTATTTTATTTAATATTACTTTTTTATTACACAATTCTTTTTTTTAATCTTTGAGATATTGATGTTAATTATTTATTTTCATATTATCCCCTTTGTTGTGATATTTTTTTAAAGCTATAAGTCCTCTACCCCCTCTCCCGAAAACCTTCATCTCTTAACAAAGAGTACAAATATTAAAAAAAGTTCTGCTCTTTTTTGGACATTTGTTTTGTGAAAGAAAACTAAAAAAAGAAAACGATCCTCTAAAAATAACTTGAAATGCCAAAATTAAAACAAAAAATAAAATAAATGAAAAAAGGAAAATATTCTGAATTTCTAACATATCGTCAAAGATTTTTTTGTAAAGAAAAAAATTGAAAAAAAAATAAAGAAACCAAAACAATAGTAATAAGCTGCAAAAAACCCCTCAAAAATCATATCTCTGTATTTAAAGAAAAAATATTTTTTCAATTTTGATTTTCAATATTTATTTCTTTGAAACGAAAAAAACTATAATAATTTCCCAACATTAGCCCAATTATCTAGAATAAATTAATCAAATAACAAAAAAATTACCATAATAAAATCTTTTAGTTAAATTGAATTGAATTTTGGAAAGCAAAGCAAATAATAACAAAATATATATTTTTTTAAATAATAAGTTAATTTTTAATAATTTCTTCTTATATATTAAACAAAAAAGAAAAACAAATTAAGGTTGTCATTTAATAGAAAAACACTTAAAGAATTCCTATTTTATTTGAAATGCAAAGAGAAAAGAATGAAGGAAGGAAATAACCATCAGCAAATTTACAATTCAATGGCTCAATTATAAACTACAAAGGGAACCACAACACGTTGCCAACTTATTTAAATGTTGCCAAATAGGACAGTTGGCAACAGGGAAATGTCAAATTGATCAATCGATCTTTTTTTTATGGC